TATCGCTGACTCTCTTTTCGGACTCAGCCCGCCTGCACTCAGGTGATTAAAAAGCTTTATTGCTCACACAAAGCCTGTTTGGTGGTCCCTTCACCTGGACGCACATGAAACCTGAGACAAGAAGTCAAATTATATGCAGGTATATAAAGAAAAAATGATACCCCCACCCCAACCATTGTATCCTTCTGAGGAAACTGAAGTTAACAGAAGGACAGGCACCTTTCAATATCTTTCTGTTATCTAAAATGTTAAGACTAATCCCTATTTTTTTAGGAGTCGACTCATCTTAGAGGCAAGAACATGCATGTAAAGAAATAATTACAGCATAAAGGCTTTATACTTATAAGGGTTCTATAAGTGACTGAGATGGTAGGGCCTCTGTGGAGTGAGGCTGTGAAAATGCTGGAGATCTGGGGAGAACTGAGAAAGACTGAGTAAGATATAAAAGTTTTGAGAAGAGGTGCAAGTCAGGTTACCAAGATGCTGTTATTTAAATTCCTTCTTTCTCACAGAAGCTCGGAACAGAAAGGTCCTTAGAGACCAGTGGTCCAGACCTTCAGAGATGCGTTCACCCTAATGGCTCTCCAGCCTCCCTGGGGTTGCCTCCAGGGCCAGAGACTTTGCTCAGAACTCGCTCCTGACCAGCCACTGCTCCCCCTGCTCCCTATCAACAGGCACACTGGACTCTTTCAAATACTCTTTATATTTTATGCTTATATGTTATAAAATTTTTATGCATTTGTTCTCTTCCTCTTCTGTATAGTTTAAGCAACCTGAGGGCAGGGGATGTGTTTTGCTTATTTTTGCTGACTGAGTGATGGAATGAATGAATTAATTATTCAAGAAAAGAAAAACCAACATATCCTAGGCCCTCTTATTTGAATACATGGAGTCGGCCATGGGAAAGGATTAAAACCTGAACTTCTTCCTGGACTTCACAGTTTCCTCTGGATATGCTGATTCCTACATTTTTCCTGAGATCCTTCCAGTTGAGGAAGAGATTCTCCATGCTCCCCTTTGGTTATATCTAAGGATCTATGCAGCGTAAGCCAAAAATAAAATTCTAAGCACTGCAACTGACTGAATGGACCCCCTGTTGGCTCAGGGGATAGGAAACAAACCTGAAAAACTAGTTCAGGCCATGATAGGAAGAGGGGCTTGGACGTGCCTAGTTATACTCTTCTCCCTCAGGCACAACTAACCAGCGTTAACATTAAAATAGAACTCATAAGACTGACAAAACAGACTCTGTTACAATAACATGCCAAATTCCAACCTAACTGTGGTATAGCATCACATGACAGATAGCAGGACATGAAGTATGTATATTACCCCAAAATATATTTATTTGGCATATTTTGAAGAGGCCCTGCAAAGCTGTCTTTTGTGGAGGAAATTTGCATTCTGAAGAGAATCCCCTTCCTTTACTAGGTTATTTCTGGAGAGTCTGACAACGTTTAAGTACTGATAAGAGACATTTACCATCTATTCTCTCTGAAGCCTGCTACCTGGAGGCTTCATGTGTGTAATAAGAACCTTGGTGGGCTGGGCGTGGTGGCTCACACTTGTAATCCCAGCACTTTGGGAGGCCGAGGCGGGTGGATCACGAGGTCAGGAGTTCAATACCAACTTGGCCAAGATGGTGAAACCCCGTCTCTACTAAAAACACAAAAAAATTAGCTGGGCGTTGTGGTGGGTGCCTGCAATCCCAGTTATTCAGGAGACTGAGGCAGAGAATTGCTTGAACCCAAGAGGCAGAGGTTGCAGTGAGTCGAGATCACGCCACTGCACTCCAGCCTGGGCGACATAGTGAGACTCCGTCTCAAAAACAAACAAACAAACAACAACAACAAAAACCTTGGTGGCCAGGTGCAGTGACTCACTCTTGTAATCCTAGCACTTTGGGAGGTGGATCACTTGAGGTCAGGGGTTTGAGACCAGCTTGGCCAACATGGTGAAACCCTATCTCTACTAAAAATACAAAAATTAGCCACTCATGGTGGAACATGCCTGTAATTCCACCTACTTGGGAGGGCTGAGACAGGAGAATCACTTGAATCCGGGAGGCAGAGGTTGCAATGAACTGAGGTCACACCACTGCACTCCAGCCTGAGCAACAGAGCGAGACTCTGTCTCAAAAAAAAAAAAAAAAAGAAAAAAGAAAAAAAAGAACCTTGGCTTGCACAATCTTCATCTTATCTTAACTAATGCATTTCTTTTTTTTAATTTTAATTTTCCATTTAAGTTCTGGGGTACATGTGTAGATGTGCAGGTTTGTCATATAGGTAAACATGTGCCATGGTGGTTTGCTGCACCTATCAACCCACCACCTAGGCATTAAGCCCAGCATGCATTAGCTATTTTTCCTAATACTCTCCCTCTCCCAACTCCACCCGACAGGCCCCAGTGTGTGTTGTTCCCCTCCCTGTGTTCATGTGTTCTCATTGTTCAGCTTCCACTTATAAGTGAGAACATTCAGTGTTTGGTTTTCTTTTCCTGCATTAGTTTGCCAAGGATAATGGCTTCGTTCTTTTTATGGCTGCATAGTATTCCATGGTGTATAAGTACCACATTGTCTTTATCCAATCTATCATTGATGGGCATTTGGATTGATTCCATGTCTTTGCAATTGCCAATAGTGCTGCAATGAACATATATGTGCATGTATCTTTATAGTAGACGCATTTATATTCCTTTGGAAATATACCCAATAATGGGATTGCTGGGTCAGATGGTATTTCTGGTTTTAGATCTTTGAAGAATTCCACATTATCTTCCACAGTTGTTGAACTAATTTACATTCCCACCAACAGTGTAAAAGCATTCTTACTTCTCTGGAACCTTGCCAGTACCTGTAGTTTCTTGCCATTTTAATAATCACCATTCTGACTGGCATGAGATGGTATCTCATTTCTTTATTCTAACTTCAAACTCTTCAGGCAAAGTTTAACTCTTTCAACCAATTGCCAATTAGAAAATCTTTGAATTCTCTATGACCTGGGAGGCCTGCCAACTCCCCATCGTTGACATATCTCACCTTTCTGAGCCAAACAAATGTATAGTTTCCACATATTGATTTCTGTTTTTACCTGTAGCTTCTGTCTCCCTAAAATGTATAAAACCAAGCTGTAACCCAACCACCTTGCGCATATGTTCTCACGACCTCCTGAGACTGTGTCATGGGCCATGGTCCTTAATCTTGGCAAAACAAACTTCTAAATTGATTGAGACCTGTCTCAGATACTTTTTGGTTTACAGTAGAAATGTGTATATCATTACATACATTCCACTCAGGTGAAATACAATTGGTATAAAAAGTAAAGATTTAGCTGAATTTCTATAACAAGGCCACTTTCTGCTGAAACAATAGAAGGAAAAACTCAACTTCAGTCCTTCTTGTGGGGTCTTACCCCTCACTCCTGTGTTGGTGTGATAGGGTGGGGGAGGCAGAGGAGGCATCTGATCCAAACGAACGAAACAAAACATAAGGCTTTATTGATGTCCACAGCAAAATTATCTTTAATGCTTTAAAGCCGGATCACACTAGGCCTAAGTTCACAGTTTGGACAAAACGGTTGAAGTGTGAGGATGTCATACACAATCACTTGTTTTTTTCAGATACATCAGGGATTTAAAAATACACATCATTTACATTTTCATCTTGAGAAATTTTCTTCATGCACACTCTAGAAAACTGAGAAATGAATGGAAAAGGAAAACTTAAAATTAGGAAAAAATGTATACTAGTACTGGTGGTTGTTATGAAGTCTGAATTATCTCCAGGTAACAAATACGGTTACAAAACAAGCAAATGTTACTTTTTATGTAGAAAATAAACTTTATACAGCTACTAATTTAGTATAAAGGAATTGTCACTGAAAATCCCAGATTATATGAATCAAAATTGAAAGGGAAACAGAAGGTAGCAAGTAAAGATATTCTAAATTATATATTGCATTGGAAAAGTGGTTTTTGACTTTGATAATCACAGAAAAATAATTAAAGTAACATCTTTGGAAAACATAAAGGTTACCACCAACAAACCAAAAACAAATGTTTTGCCTTTCAAATCATTAGTGCAGAGAAAATAAAACACAACCTAATCCATATATCGAAAGAGAAACTAAAAATGCAGTATAAGAAATGACAAACAGAAAACCTAAAAAATGGGATATATGTATAGAATTATATATTTATACTAATCGTTATATATAAAATTCTGGCCAACCTTAATTGCATGGCTACTATGGGTCAAGCTACTGCTAGATGCTTTGCTCCCATTACTTTTTTTACTTACTCTTTATGGCAACCATAGTAATAGTATATTATTGTTTCAAATATACAAATGAATCAACAGTGAATAAAGCAGTTTCCTGAGGTCACATAGATGTAAAAGGAAGGTTCAGGATCTAAACCCTGACCTCTCTGACTCACAAACTTATTCTTGGTTATTGCACTGTCCCACCTGCACACAACAGAGTGAGAGGCAAGATACCAAATCTATCCATTGTGTACTCCCCAATTTAAAGTCAAAGACCTAAATTGTATCATAGTACAAAATATAACATGTTGCTTCTAAAATAAATGCCTTAAAGATGGCATGAGAAATACATACACACCGTCTGTGTGTGTGTGTGTATGTGTCTGTGTGTGTGTGTGTGTGTCTGTGTATTGGGTAAATATAAAAGAACAGAACCAAGAGTGTCAATATAAATTTCAAACAAGATGTAGGATTAAATGACATTAACACGATTGGAAAAATTTCATATTGATCAATGACATAATCCACGAAGAAATTACCTTTATACACTGAAAATTTCACGACAAACTATAAAAGTCAAATTCGGGAGTTCAAGACCAGCCTGACCAACATGGAGAAACCCCGTCTCTACTGAAAATACAAAATTAGCCGGGTGTGGTGGTGCGTGCCTGTAATCCCGCTACTCAGGAGGCTGAGGCAGGAGAATTGCTTGAACCTGGGAGGCAGAGGTTGCAGTGAGCCATTGCACTCCAGCCTAGGCAACAAGAGCGAAACTCTGTCTCAAAAAAAAAAAAAGATCAAAATCGCTAAAATGACTAGAAATACAATATGAGAAAAAATATAAGAAAAAGTGAACACAAAGGTATTATGAGACACTCTAACATAAATATCAGTTTTTGATAGATTATATAGATCGTGAGTTCTCATCACTTAGCTCTCATTTGTAAGTGAGAACATGCAGTATTTGGTTTTCTGTTCCTGTGTTAGTTTGCTAAGGATAATAGCCTCCAACTTCATCCATGTTCCCGCAAAAGACATGTTCTTGAAGAAGGAGGGTGGGAGGAGGGAGAGGAGCAGAAAAAATAATGAATGGGTACCAGGTTTAGTACCTGGGTGACAAAGTAATCTGTACAAAAAGCCCCCATGACGCGAGTTTGCCTATATAACAAACTTGTACCTGTGTCCCTGAACCTAAAAGTTAAAATAAAATGTAAGTGAAAAAACAATAATATAGATCAAAAATAAAGTCAGGGAAACTGTAAACAACAACATTAGTTATATTAACACATATGCATAAATATATAAAATGTATATGCACATATATTTATGTATCTAATATAATTCCCCTTCCTTCGTGGAAGGAGGCTGGGGCTACCTGAAAAACAGGCTCCATAGCTTCTTTCCACTTGCCCATAGAATGCTCTCAAATACTATTAATATACTGCATTAGAAAGAACATCTTAATAAATTTATAAAAGCTAATATTTAGACAACATTTTTGCACTAACATATAGGTGACCTATCAATTAAAAATGACATCAAAATTAAAAATGTATAAAACAATAACTAGCAATTACAAAACTCATGCAAAACATGAATGTAAGAGGAAATCAAAATTGCAATGAACATTTATTAGAAAATATTGCATTCCTACACTACTACAAAACATGAAATTACTAAATGTATGCAATGTAGCCAAGCCTTACCTAGAAGCAAATTCATAATCTTAAATGTTTTCCTTATTGATAAAAGAGAATAAAAATAATGGAACCAAGCATTCACCTTAATTATTTGGAAAAAGAAACAGAAAAAAAACAGGAGGAAATATATAATAGCAAATATAGAAATCCAAGAACAAGGAAACCAAAATACAAGTCCAATAAAGTCAATGATTAAACCTAGGATTTAATCTTTAGATTAAAACAAATCTAACACATACAATTTGAAAAAAATCTTTTAAAATGTTGGTGCCCAACTATCCTAATTATTATTCTTGTACTCTCAACTCATGAAAGTTCTCAGTGTCTCTCCTTCAGTATAGTTCAAGGAACTCTGGTCTTCCCACTTTGATCCAATTCACCAGAGCATTTCAAGCTGGCCCCATGGTTTGACTACCAGAAGGCCTCCAAGGGAAATAGGCCGCCAAGGAAATGAGCTTCAGTAAAAGCTTTTACCAAAAAGCTTTTACCATGACCTCCATCTTCATGGTAGGGCTGGTCTCAGACAAGAGATATGCACCATCAGGTCTTTCCCCAAGACCAACGTCTGGGTGAATGTAGCCCAATAACAGGGGAGAGGGCTTTCCCTTGGTACAGAAGAGTATACTCTGTATGTTACTGTCCTGATTTGCTCTCTACAAAATGGGTGCTCAATTTTTGAAGATCGAGTCTTAGCAGAAAGTTGCTTATTTTTGCCTACATCATACTGTCTCAACAGATTTGGCTTCTTCTATCCTTGTGTCATCACTGAAGCACAGAAGCATGGGTGTGAAGCAGGAAACTTAAAGACAACAGTAGAAACCAGAAAGCAGAAAAAAGGAACAAGAAAGAAGGCTTCCTGCAAACCCCAACCCTTTGAATATGTCCAAATTCATCAAATTGTACAGTAGCAGGTACAGTTTTTTTTTTTTTTACCAACCCTACCTTAATAAAGCTGTTTAGAGAAAAAAAAAAAAAAAGACTATGGAATATATCCAAAATACTAGGATATTTCAGAAATGAAAGCTGATTAAACATAATGATTGGTCTATTAAAACAAAAAGACCATCCCTTCTGTCCCAAGTAATCAAATAACTCAGAATAGTGAATATACTGTTAGCCCTCTCTGTTGCTCATGCATTGTGCCGAAGACTTCAACTCACTGTTTCTTTAAGCAATAGTATGAAAAAAAATCACACTATTTTTTTAAAAGCTCTATTTTGATTCCTTTTTAAATTATTTACTTTTTAAAAATTTTACTTTTTGAGCCAGTCTTCCTCTGTTGCCCATGCTGGAGTGCAGTGGTGCAATCATAGCTCACTGCAGCCTGAGCTTCTGGGCTTAGGCCATCCTCCCACTTCAGCTTCCCGAGATGCTGGGACTACAGGCCTATGCCATTATGCCCAGCTAATTTAAAAAAAAATTTTTTTTTTGTAGAGACGAGGTCTTATTTTGTTGTCCAGGCTGGTCTCAAACTCCCGCGCTCAAGCCGTCCTCCCACCTCAGCCTCCCAAAGTGCTGGGATTATAGGTGTGAGCCTCTGCACCTGGCCCTTTTCTACTTTTGAAGAAACAGAGGCTTAGAGAGGTTATAAGAACCTTTCTAAATTCATCGAATCAATGACCGAAGGAGAATGGAAACCCAGGCAGCTAGTGTCCAGCATTCAGCATCTGCGCTCTCTCTTACCCCTGGTCTGTATCATGTTTTCAAAGAAAGCAACTTCTACCCTTACAGGATCACTCTTGAGAACTCTGACCTTCCTTCCACTCCAGTTAACTTCTCTGCATGGAAGGGGGAGATTTATTTGATTGATGAGACAGAGAAGAATCATCATCCACTGATTCATGTTCCTGCTTGACTGCAGTGAACAAAGTTAAAAGTCGAAATACATAGGGCCTCACTCTCCACGCTGCCCCCAACCCCAAAAGCCTCTCCATCCCTGGACAAGGAGAAGGCACAGTTTCCCTCGTGTCTAAGTAAGCATCAGCTCTGCAAATGCAACTCAGCCTTGGGTTCCAACGTTTCAACTTAAGAGGAAATATAAGGTTGCCACCTACTTTGGCTTCAGATTTTAATGTGCTCCAGGTCAATTTCCCAAGTAATTAAGCTGATGATCTCTAGTGAATTCTTGGGTCTAGATATCAATTAGTTCAGAGCTTTGAAAAGCAAGGATGTGAGTATTAGCCTGAAACTCATCCGTTCATACACCACAGTGGGCTTCCGCCCATGCGCCTGGCTCTAAGAAACTAAATCTTGAGCCTCTTACATGACACTTTAACATGCTGTGAACATATGCCTAGATAAATGTCGGGGAACCCACTAAATAAAGCACTGCTCTATCAATGCACAGGACAGCTACATTCCAAAGACTTCCTCTCTGAAGATTTCTGTAGGATCAAGCAGAGGATAACTCAAGTGAAGGGGAAATGCTTTCCTTAACTTATTCCTATGTACATAAGGTTCCATGTCAGCTCATTAGGGCAGTGCCGCATAACTCTCTCCTCCCTTTGGGGCAGATGAGCTCCAAACATCTGTCCAGCCAGGCAGAGTTCCTGGAATTATGGGCAAAATATCCAGGTCGCATATGAGACAAATTCCCTAGCAGAGGAATAAGGCAAACTTTGTCTTAGGATGCTTTCTTATAAACACAGGAAGTATCATAAAATAATAATTTCAACCCATTTTTACTCAAAGAGATGGGTGAACTGATGAATTAAATAATTAAATTAGGTTTTGACATTTTCTTAACAAGAAACAGATCACTGCAATTAGAAGAGTTTGCAGAGTAATTATTTCACATTGCTAGTTCAGACTGCTTTCACAGAGAGATGGGCGTTTCCCTTAACATGTGGCCAAGACATAGGACAAAATGGGTGTATTTTGGATAGAAACACGGAAACATGAAGAGGTATATGCTTTGTATACAGTGGCTAAATTGTCTGGTCAGCTGTTTCTAACAGCAGGGGTGCAAATAGGTCTTGACAACTTCACGTTCTGTTTCAGATTTATGATCCATTAAAAATATTTAGAGTTTTAAAGCCCCAGGGCCATGATTGTGCCACAGGCTGCTATTCCGAGGCAGCATATTGGAACTCGTTTACTGTGTGTGATCTTTATTTTCTAAAGATTTCTCTTCTCTTCTTTCTTCTGTTGTCTCCCTCCTTCCCTCTCTTTCATTTTCTCTTTTCTTTTTTGAACGAGGAATTTTGCTCTTTGTCAGAAGGTGATAAAGAAGGCAACAATGACCTTGAATTCGTGTTCACATCCAAATTGTATTGGGATGTAGATTTCAGCTCCATCTGGGAGTAGTTCTCCGGTAATGAGAAAATTCATACCAGGTTCTATTTTCAGCCTGAGAGTCCCCTTCCAGCCCCTTGGAAACATCACAGTGGAGAGAGGCCCCCTTAGTGGCACACTCAGCCTCTCATTTCTCCAGAGGGGTTATTTTTGCATATTTCTGGCAGCCTGGCCTCTGACCTATAGCCTGATATAACAGGGTTCAAGTTAAGTAAAGTCAACAGTTGCCTGGCCTAGTGTTATGTTTACCCTTGGTCCTTCTGCAAGCAGAAAACTTGCTTCTCTAGTAATTCTCAACAGGTTAAACCTCTCTTTGGATCTGCTTCTTCTCTGATTTCTGAATTGGTGAGAATGAGCTACATTAATGGGAAAACTAGGGAAGGATTGAGATGATAAAGAGAAATTAGGAAATACACTGCAAAAAACCTGGCGGAATTAAAGAACTATGGATGAAGAGCCACGGATGTTCACAGAGGCTTCAGGTTCTGAATATGGACGAATATGATGCCGAGATGTGTCAGTTTCAGACACCACTGCACTGAGAAAGGCTAGAGAATGCTAACATCTCATCTTTGGAAAGGATCTTAGAAAGAATTTAACCTGGCAGTTTTGGAATGTTTTTAGCAACTTGATCTTTTCTTTGAGTCTAACTCAGATTTCCAGTTTATAAAACAGATACAATCAACGCTGCCCTAGATAATACCCCAAAAAGGAGGCTGAGGGCCTATATCACCTCTGCCCTCCTTCCCTCACCACACAGCCTCTAAGATGCCTCCTCGAAGCCCCTGTTAATCAGCATGGAGCAGAGCCTGAAAACCACTGCGAGCACAGCATGTGCCCAGACAGGAATCACCTCTGCAGGATCCCTGACTCAGCCCCACTCATGAGAATTCCCAGCAGCTTCCCAGCAGCTGGAGCTGCCCTGACTTTCACCATCAGAGTGGCTCTTCGCTACCAGAGCCTCTGAAACACACCTACCCCTCTGTCCATGTGACAACCTTCAAATATAGGACCACAGCCAGTATGTCTCCTTGTGGTCTCCACACCCCACTGTTTGCATTCGATTATTTGCTCCTTGAAGTCAGGAGTTGTGCCTGTTTTATCTTCACAGTCTCAGTGCCTAATCCAATAGTGAGTAGTAAGCGCTTAATAAATGTTTGTCCTAGATAAAGTGGTGATAGTTACAAGATGACACCTGGATGATTAATAATAAAGTAATTATAAAGACTCCAATTATTAAACTAGGCATTGGGTTCAACACTTTATATACAAAATGTATTTCAATTTTTTGGAAACACTTAATAAGCATTATTAACGCTGTTTAATAGAAGAGGAACTGAGGCTTAGTGTTAACTGCCATAGCAGGGCCACACAGCTAGCAAGCAAGAGGAGGAAGCAGGACTTGAGTCCAAGCTTATCTCAGCTTTTAACCACAATGATAGAATCTAGTGGTTGAGGCCAGTGTTGACAGATGTTCAGTAGAGACAAGGGCTGGGGAGGGAAGGATAGGAAGGAGACACTGTGTAAGCAAGTGGGGGAATCCAGAGTTGCTACTTGGGAAATTGTCCTAATAGATGCACTTCTACCATCACCACCACCCTGAGCTCCATTTCTCTTCTTTCCTCCCTTTTCTCTGTCAATTCTCATCTTGACCCAGATTTTTTTTCTTCCAACAGTCAATGGGTGGATACTGTCTGAATTCCTGAAGGGTTTCTGCTACTAGAACATGACCACCCAGAGCTGTCTGCTCTCCAATGGCTTAGCACAGCAGCAGCAAAGGAGGCGGGAGGCAGGCTGGAGGACATGACATCGCAGATGTATGATATATGTATAAGACAGCCTCTGGCACATGGCAGGTCATCAAATGATTCAGTGTTCTCCCTTCCTTTCAAAATTTCTTCTTGCCAGTTTCCCACAGTCTCTCATAATTTCCTTCTCTAGAGGCTCTAGTTTTGTCTAGGACTGATTTGACATTCCTGACCATCTGTGGAAAATGATGCCTCCCAGAAGACACCATTCTTTAAGACCTTCCTATCCCAGTCAGTACAATAAGCTCTCTCTTAAGGTCAACTCCCACCTTCACCCTGCACTTGTACCTTTCCTCATCATCACTGATGCTCCTTCCTTCTCCATTGAGCCCAATGTTAGGATGTGAGGCTTTTGAGCCTCCTTGTTTCATTATTAATGGAACTTGAGATTTTGTTTCTTGCTTTGGAAGCTACATTGCAAATAAAAGTAGGGGCAGGAAGTGAGATCTGATTTCCTGTCTGGTGCCAAGGCTATGGTTAGATCTTTGAGGCCAATTTCTAAGTGACTTTGGGTTAGAGTCAGAATACATGTTTGAGGTAAATAGAGAAGACAGCTATCTCTCAAATGGAGGAATCTCAGAGACTAGTGTCTTAGAGAGAGGTTTATTGGCTAAATAATAATTCCTAACATATGTTCAGCATTTCACAGCTCACCAAGTACTTCTTTGAGTATTATCCCATTTGATTCTTGAAACAATGCCCTAAGGTAGCTGGAAAAATACCATTGTTCCCATTTTATATACACTCTGCACTCCTCAGTAAGGACAGCAGAACTTATGGGACTTATTCACAGTCATTCAACACTTTAGTGTAAGAACCAGGACTGAAACCGAAGTTTTCTGACTTGTGAAGATCATATGAATAAGGCAGGTATGTAACCCACCTGAGAAAATGTCTTCTGCCTTTGTGTATTTAGAGAGTGTCAGTCTCTGTCCTCATTTCCTTTCTGAATCCTGGATCTGTGTCCTTTTTTCCATTCACCATGCTGGAAAAATAGATAAAAGGAAGTGATTTGGAGAGAAGGAAGAGAAGAACACGGTTCTTGATCTCCAGGGACTGGTTCTAAGACATGCTTCTGAGGCTGAGGTTGATGCCATTGTGAAACCCAGTATGAAGCATAACCTCGTTAGGTCTAACGAGCAGAGAGTGGGAGAACACTGTCTCTCTTCACTTCTGTTTCCTTTCCTCCCTCCTTTCCCACCCAGCTTTTGTGGTTTGTTAATTATTTGAGGCAAGGGTATTGGAGGTGCCTAGGCTCTGTCTTCTGACTCAGTCTCATCCCTCCCTGTCCCATAAACATGTCTCAGAAGCCTTGTTGATCTGAGAATATGAGGCAAACCAACCACCTCGCCCTTTCTAGGCTTGTACATGGGTTTCTGAACTGTCCCCCAACAAACCCTCCCTATGATCCCACCCACCCAGCCACTATTGCCAGCCCAACTTACTGGAAATCTCTGTTCCTCTAAAGCAGACATTGGCTTTGTTCCCAGAGCCAGGCAAAATGGAAATGCTTTCTAAGAAAAACACAAACAAGAGAATTACATCCTGATCTGACCAGTTGGAAATTTCTTCACAGTATAATTTTATTTATTCTTCATCAAGGATGCTTTATCCCTCTTTCTGCAAAGACTGGTCTGCTAGGTCAACAAAGTAACTGATACTTATTTTTTTCCCTAGTTACTAAAAAAAATCCAACCCATATAAATTGCTGTCAATTCTGGTGACTTATAGTATAGTTAGAGCTCTGGTATCAAAAATAAATTGATATGATGGTCCTGAAAGAGCAATAGGATCCCCCTTCTTGAAAGATATTTAAAGATTTGAGAAACTCTGAAGGGCCTCTGCACTACGGCCCTCACTCCCCTACTTCACCTACAGCTCAGATTATGTTTTTTAGTAGTATGATTATTGGATTCCACTCACTGCCACCATCTCTGGATAATGCCATCCAAGAGCATGACTATTCTCCAATGTCTAAGTTCTCCAAAAACCTCTTTGTTTTCCCTTGCCCACTGCAGTCCAGTAAATGTTACATTATGTTAGAGGTGACCTAATTTGACCTTCAAATCATCTTTAAAATTGGCTTTCCCACAGTAAAAGAATTTCAGGCCACAGACTGTAACCATTGTGTTTATCTCACACAATATTGTTTTGAAGGCTTCTGTCAACGTAACTCAAGTTTGAAGCACTAAGCTGGCACTTGATATATGCTGCTGAACAGTCTAACTACAGGATATACTATTTATTATTTTAGTAGCAATGGGAAGTATATGCCAAGCCTTGTTTTAGATGCTGCAAATGCCGTGTGCCTATGAACAGTCCAGTTTTAGACTCTAAAGAAGCTCTTATTACATATTCATATTCCAGTTCATAGATATTTCTCCTAGACTTTGGTTTTCAGATTGTTTAATTGTTATACTATTACTCAACTTTGTATCAGTTTTTGCTTCATCTCTTTCCTTTGTCCTAATCCTTTGGAAGGAATAGCAACAGCAATGGTGACGAGAAAGAGCCGAAGAAGGGTAGACTTGAATTCTGCTCTTCATTCATTCATTCTGTGATCACCGACTTATCCCTTTACTTCTCTTATCTCAGTGAATTTATATGTAATATTAGGAGAATAGAAATGCAAGGGACCCCAGGAGTAAAATAATTACTTGTCGAAAATAAATTGTCAAAGATGACTATTGTCCAGGTGTTAAAGATGGAAAGGTAAATCAGATTTGATCCCTGACCCTAAGGGGCCAAACAGTCTAGCAGGAAAACAATCTTTGAGCCTAGAGCTTTTTCCTTGTACCCAGCACATGCCTTAAACTTCATGAGTGCTGGAGAACCAGATGTTAATTTGGGCTTGGAATTTTGAGCTAGTTCTTTTACCATAATTGCTATTTCCAAGTGGAGCTGATCATCTTTCTACTTTCTATTTCTAGGGGAGAAAGATATATTCTGGTATAGATCCTAGGTGTTCTCAACTGGCCTATAAATTGACTTCGTGATACAACAGAACAGTCATAAATTAAAATATCCTCTTCTGTTACTCACAAATTCTATACTTTTGGATAAGTTATGTCCCCTTTTGTGCCTCATTTTATCCCACTGATAATAAGAGATTTGAATTAGATGAGTTCTGGGGTCCCTCCTATTTGAACCTTCTTTGAGTTGAAGATCATGGCCACATCACTCAGCCCTGCTACCGGTGCCCAGGCTCTGGCCTTAGGCGTATGTGTCTAAGCTATTTGGTTGTCTCTTTTTCTGCCCCTTTCTCCCTTCAATCCATCCCTAGTATCTGTACACCAGATCCACTGCCTTGGGCCTACCAGATATATTAGGTTGGTGCAAAAGTAATTGTGGTTTTTGTCATTAAAAGTAACCGCAAAAACCACAATTACTTTTGCATCAACCTAATACTTCTGCTTCTCGGTTTCTCAGTTCCTTTTTTCCGTCTACTGCTTTTCTTCTTGAAATTGGAATCGTTCTCTCCCTGGATTTTACCCAATCCCCCTGAATCGGCAGAGGACTCTCAGCTTCTCTCCTCAGCTTGAACTACATCTTGCTCCTGTGAACTTGTTTTCTTCAAGGCTTTGTAGCCTCTATTTTATAAGCAACACCTATGGACTTCTGAAAAAACTACTTGAGAATGCTATTTTTTATGTTTTACACTCAGCTCCCTATTACCATGTATTTTGACCATTTCTATTACTGTTCAAGGTTACATAACCTCATTATATGCTACAGACTGAATGTGTTTTTGAAATAAGAGGCAGGGGAAAACTGTCATTAGAGGTAGTAAAATATAAAGCTTTTTTCTTTCTTTCACAATCTCCCTTGACTTGTCATGGTCATGTTGTTTTTCAATTTGCTATTTAATGTTCTAAATAAAGAAAAATTGAAATGGTAAATTACTAGCATAGATTTACCATTCATCTTGATATTGTGCAATGACACTTTTAAATGCAAAAATAAGAGTATTTCACTCCTATGAGAGATTACTGAAATCGCACAATTTATACTTCATAGCTTGTACATGCATATATATTTTGCTCTTTTCAGAACACTGTAAGCACTGCACCAAACCAATTCAAGTATTTGTACTTTTCTTCTTAATAATATGCGCATTCTATCAACACTCTCTACCTTTGACTTACTGATGAGTAAGAGAGGACTGAAAAGAAAAGGCACTATGGTTTGCCCTATCTTTCTCTTTCCTTCTATGGTATCATTTTCAGTGCAAGTGGTTGACTAATAGAGGAAGTAACATGAGTAATGAAGGATATGACAGAGTCCCTTGCTAATTCTTGTTTCTTAGAATGTCCTTGCCCTCTTTCTGGCTTGAATGAAAAATGTGGCCTCCTGGGACTGTCAGTGGTGTGGTCCCCACGTCCTTAGTCATAGACATAACATACTTACATTGTACTTGATTTGAGTCCCCTCTGAGCTCCCATGCATTGTAGATTCATCAGAATCCTGTGCTCATGGAATTTTATGAACACTATACGCAAATGGACAGCAAGAAATGGCAGTAAACACTTTTATTGTAGCTATCTCCTCTGCTCCTGCACATGCTCCATGGTACCGCTGGACTTCACTTACAAAACACAAATACAAAGACAAAATTACTAAGAATTATCAAGAATTTTAATTTCAAGATGGCAACAGAGTATTAAACCAAAGGTGAAGTCGCTCTGAGTGTGGGGTTTGTAAGACAGCACTGGTGGCACTCCCAGGAGCTCGTCTTGGCCAGGTCGCACCCTTGAGTCCATTGGAACCTGAATCTCACCCTACTCTGCTATGCTGTAATGACTCCAGCTGAATTCAAGGAGTTACAGTTCGAGACTCTCCAGGCTCTAGTGGCCAGGCCATCCCACTTGTGGTGAGTAGCTTTAAGTAAAATATGCTCACAAATTATTTAATATACTTTCCTTCAAGAGATGGAGCTTAATTCTTTTCAAGTGTGGACTATTTTTAGTGACTTACTTCTAAAAAATATTATAGGGCAAAAGTGATGAAGTATGACTTCCAAAACTTGATCTTGGAAGATACTGCATCTTCTATCTTCCTGTCTTTCCTAGATCACTTGCCCTGAGGGAGGACGTCTGCCATATCATGAGGATGCACAACCATCCCATGGAGGGTGCTAGATGCAGAGCAGCTGAGGCCTCCTGCTAGTGGTCAGTGAGGAACTAAGGCTTCTTGCCAATGGCCATGTGAGTGAGTCATCTTGCAAATAGATCCCCTAACCCCAGTTAAGCCCTTCAGGCAACTGCAACTTGGTCAAGTCTTAACTGCAACCTCACGAGAGATTCAGAGCCATAGCTACCAGCTAAGCTGCTCTTGAATTCCTGACTCAGAAACTTTGAGATCATGAATCTTTGTTGTTTCAGGCCTCCAACCTTAGGGGTAATTGGTTATGCAGCAATAGATAACTAATATACCACTATTTATAAGCTTGGTACAACCCAAACACCAAAGCATATCCAAGAGTTTTCTTGGCCATGTTAGGCAGTCTCAGAAGTCCTCAAAATGAAAAGCAGACAAGCCTCTATTCCTAGAATGCACATTAGGCAGATATAATATTTAGCTTTTCTAGAATGCTTTATTTTTTAGGCACTATACAGTAAAACCAGGGCTTATTTCCTTGCCTTGATAACTGGTGATATAGGTCCCTGTGCCACAATTCTGCCAGACTCAGACATCACTTGTCATTTGGAGGAGAAATTTTGAATCACATTCTCCACCGTTCCTTGCAGGCCCCCAGCGGTAGTAACCCACTGCTAAGCACAGTGAAATTCAGCTCAATTAGACAGCCTTGCTCATGCTTTCCTCCATCTTTACTTCACTCCCCTTTCTTTTCCCACTAACTTCCTGGGAATCACCCCTTGAGGACCTTGGTGAGAGCAGTGGACCAAACCAAGACAGTTGTTTGGTCTGGTGTTTTGGGGTGGGGAGTGCTTTACAAGTCGATGAGATTACTATCCCCTAAAAAGGGAGGAAGCACAGATGTCTCTCCCAACTCTTGCTTCTCTTACTTGGCAGTCTGACCTATCAGGCAGGCTAAGTGGCCTAAACTAGTTCAGGCCCTAAGACAAAAATTTTTTTTTCTTGTTGTCCATGACATTAGGACAATGCGTCACTTAGGAGAATGCGTCAGGCTGGCCTTTTCTTACAATACCAATGCTAAGTCTCCACCCTGAGTTTGGAAGTTAATTAGAAGGAAAAGAAGCAGAGGCGTATGAAGGAACTAGCAACATAGAGGTGCCTAAAATGGGGCCAGGGATGAACTGTAACTACACAAAGGCTGGCATTAAAAAGTACAGCCCCACATGGAAGCCTAGCCCCATTGTCCTTAGCAGGTGGTCTGGGCTGCTAGTTTGGCCGGTCAGGGATGGCTTGTGCCCCTAGGCAAGAGGCAAATGGTATTGTGGTTAAGGATGAAATTGGATTATAAGTAAAGGAGATTTATTTAGGAAACAGCTGGAATTGACAGGGCAGGTTATTGGGGCTGGCTTTAGCAGCTTTGGGGCCCAGCAATATTGAAGCAGCTCTTTTATCTGTTGATTTTAGCAGTATTGACAGTGACCGTTGAGTTTATCAAGAATGGAGTCATCTAGGGAAGAGGCACTTGAGAAAGCAGGTATCTGATATTGATGGGAATGGAGGTCAACGGGGTGTTTTTTGTCTACCTGAGAGTACTGAGGAAGCTACCTGAGAGTACCTGAGAGAGAAGGAAGTACTCCCTTCTCTGGAGTCTTCTGGTTGTATGCAGAGAGGGTGTCACTGTTAACCGAGCCAGCAAAGGCTCATCCCCAGACAGGCTATTTCTCAAGCATGACTACAGGCCTCGAGGCTTGAAGCTCCTGCAGGTCTCTATAGTGTGACATTTTTGATGGTGAGGCACTGGCCCAAGTTTTCTCCTCCATCCTGCCCTGAGGCAGGGGCTGAAGAACTGTCAGGTTTTTTAGGGCATAGGGAGGAACCTTTCATGTCGTGCCCATGTCATTCCAGAGAGGTAGAACTTTCTCCCAACATATTGGAAAGGGAAATTCCGACCCTCCATCTGTTTTGGTATGTGTGGGAGCCTGAAACTGGGAAGACTGTATTTCCTGGTTGCTTAGTGCTAAGGCACTGGAGATCACTGACTGCTCAGCCATGGCACAACTGCTTGTCTCTTTTGCTCCCTAGCCCCACCCCACCCTGTGATCAGGTACAGGGGTGACGTGCTTGAGCTTCACGTAGTATCTCCCAGGTCACTAAGATGGGGAACTTGCACTTGCCATTTCCCATGTCTTCGCCTCTAGCTGACCCTTCTGTGCAGATTAGCTACATTTAACAAGAAAGGAGTAGGAAGCCCCCACTCTGGATATGCGCCTTTATTCTCCAATCTAACCATTTCTAGAAATGGATGCTGAGAAGTGAAATTTGAGGCTATTGTATAAATACAAACGTACGTAACATACTGAATATATATTCATATACATATATAATTTTTTCTGATCAATTTGAAAGTTGCCGACAGGATGCTACTTTATTGCTAAACACTATAATACTAGAGTACATATTTATTACAAAAGAAGCACATTCTTTTACATAACCACAAGATAATTATCAAAATCAGGAAAGTAATATTCATGCATCATCGCTATATTCAAATCATCAGGGCTTATTTGTATTTTTCCAAATGTACTAATAATATTTTAATGACAACAGAAAATTCTGCTTTGCTTTCAGTTGCTGTCCCCGTTTAGGCTGCTTTAATTTAGTACAGTCCCTCAGTCTTTTTTGTCTATCATGACATTGACAACTGTGAAGAATGCAAGCCCTGGTTATTTGATAGATGGTCACCCAAGTTGAGTTTGTTTGATGTTTCCTCTTGATTAGATTTAGGTTATGAAATTTTGGCAAGAATATCACAGAAGTGGTATGTTCTTCTCAGTGCATGATATCAGGGGACATATGGTATCTTATTTGTCTCATTTCTGAGGATGAGAATTTTGATCACTTGATTAAGGTGGTGTCTACTGAGTTTCTTAAATGATAAAATTACTAGTTAGTTAGCTTCTAATTAATGAGAATCTCATGGAAGGGTACCTTAAGATTACCTCAGTATCTTCTTACTCCTTAAACTTCCAGCTGCTAGTTTTAGCATCCATTGAAGATTTTTGCCTGAATCAATTGTTATAATGGTTACCAAAGATTGACATTTAAATTGACCCCTGGAATTGTTTCTATGATTATTGGTTGGCTTTCTACCGTACGAAAGAACATTTTCTTATCACCTGTTTTGTTATTTATTCACTCATTTATCCATTTATATCATGGATTTTATTTTTTCTGTGAATTGTATTTCTTTTTCTGTGAATTGTATTTCTTTACTATGCTTATTTACTTTGATTAGCAAATTGTCCAGGTTTTTTCAGTCTAAGCCCTTTCAAGCTGGTTCCTGTGTCCATTTGACATATCTACATCATTCTTTTAACACATTCTCACTCTTCTGGCACAACACCATATTCTTAACTCATCTTACATTTTTCCAGAATCAGCCATTTCTCAAAAGGGCTTGATTCCTTTTAGTGGCAAATGGCATTTTCACTGATTACTACAAGGTGCCATTGTTTCTAGGGCCTGTCAACAGAGATAGACAGCGGATGTATATACACACATACACTCATATATACAAATTTATGTGTGTGCGTATGTAATATCCATGTCTATATCCACAGGTGTACCTCAAAGATATTGTGCAATAAAGCAAATATTACTATAAAGCAAGTCACATAAATTTTTTGGTTTCCTAATGCATATAAAAATTGTTTACACTATACTATAGTCTCGTGAGTGTGTGATAGCATTATGTCTTAAAAAACTCTATATACCTTAATTAAACCGTACTTTATTGCTAAAAAATCTTAACAGGACGGGCGTGGTGGCTCAAGCCTGTAATCCCAGCACTTTGGGAGGCTGAGACGGGCGGATCACAAGGTCAGGAGATTGAGACCATCCTGGCTAACCCGGTGAAACCCCGTCTCTACTAAAAAATACAAAAAACTAGCCGGGCGAGGTGGCGGGTGCCTGTAGTCCCAGCTACTCGGGAGGCTGAGGCAGGAGAATGGCGTAAACCTGGGAGGCGGAGCTTGCAGTGAGCTGAGATCCGGCCACTGCACTCCAGCCTAGGCGACAGAGCGAGACTCCGTCTCAAAAAAAAAAAAAAAATTCTTAACAATCATCTGAGCCTTCAGTGAGTTGCAATCTTTTTGCTCATGGGGATTCTTGCCTCAGTGTTGATGGCCGTTTACTGATAAGGGCGATTGTTGCAAGAATAGGGTGTCTGTGGCAATTTCTTCAAATAAGGTAACAGTGGAGCATGCCACACTGACTGACTCTTCCTTTCACAGAAGATTTCTCTGTAGCACACAATGCTGTTTGATAGCATTTTACCCACAAAAGAACTTCTTTCGAAATTGGAGTCACTCCTCTCAAACCCTGACACTGCTTTATCGACTAAGATTATGTAATATTCTAAATTCTTTGTTTGATTTCAACAATGTTCACAGCATCTCATCAGGAATACATATATAATTTTTTCTGATC